GACTGGCAATTAATACTATGCAACTCTATAGAAGCTTATGTGAGTTTTGAAAGGTAACTTTTTCACTTGTGAATTACTTTAAATCTTTAAATATATACATATAAATATACACATATATTTGAATTTATTGAAGATAACTGCCCTGTAACCCTTCAGACACCAGGCCTGGTGTTTCTTTGCTTCCAGAGTGAGGCCAAGAAGTTTCACGGGCTCTGCCTTCATAAATAATTCTTGCCATTCCCAGCTCCATTCATTCTTTGGGATGCTGTCCTAAAGGAGGTGGAAGTCTTGACAGCCCATGTTCAGCTTAGCACTGAGGCTTCTCAGCTTCTTAGTGATGCAGATGTGCTTAGAGCTGTGCTTGCAGGAAAAGCTGAATGTTCCTATCCCAAAGCAACCTCACAGTGGGGCTGAGATTGTTTTGGGATCTCTGTTGCAGGCACGATATTGAGGAGCAGGGTAGGCTGGGGAGGAGTAGATAGGGTTGTGGCTTGGGTGAGTTCCCTGGACCACAGTATTACTTCGCTTCCTGCATGAATCTAGCAATGTTAAGAATTAAACCAGAGGTGTGCTTCGCTTCCATATGTTCTGCATCGTGTCATTTCCTGCTTTGTGCACCACTTTCTCACCTTAGTTAATTCATCAAAGGGTCATCTGTCTCTCTTTGCAGTCAAATATTTGAGTGGATGACATTGTCTTTGGTCAAATGACAGCTATGTAATAGTTGGAAAATGCAAAGCAAAATGTTAGAACCTATAGCTCCAGTGGTATATTGCTCTGCATTGAAGTCTGAGTGTTATGCAGATTTTATTACTCTGTACAACTTACGTTTTCTTACTCAGTTACAGCTGAAGGGCAAAATCAATGCCATGTCCAAACCCAAGCAAAGGAGTAGAGAGAGATCAAGGTTACAATCTGTTTTTGGATAGATCCATCTCTGGATGGATGAATATCCTCCTTCACACAATAAATATATGATGCATTAGGGTACTAAAGAATCTCTGTTATTTAGTAATGGAATTATAAACTATTTTGCTTTACATTTCCATTCATCTTAGACCTTTTTCTGGCATTAATCATTTCCTGTCATCTTCAACTTCTTAGGAAGTTCCCACTTCCTAAATGCACAGAAGAGACTAAATCTTCCATTATATTTTTCAGTGTTTTGGGGTTAATTAAACTAATGGAAGAATCCAATAATTTGCCCCTGGTAAGTCTTAGAAGGTGAAAATGTTTGTTTCCTTAGCAATACCTATGTTGCTAAATAAAACAGGAGCAAGTATTGTTTTGGATGAAGGAAGGTGGTACAACCTCTCTTCATGTAGACTGTATGGCACTGTGGTCCTTTCTGGGAGCATCTGGTTGCCTTGTAGGCCTAAGACATTCAACTTTGAGGTTCAACGTATCCAAAGCAATACAACAGCTGGGCTGGTGATGCCTCAGAAATACCTGCTATCCCCTAAGTCCTGCCAGTCATCCTGTGGGAGGGTACTTCTGGGCACAGACCACAGCTGTTGCAGAGTCATAGAATCATAGAATCACAGAATGGTTTGGGTTGGAAGGAACCTTAAAGCCCATCCAGTCCCAACCCACTGCCATTGGCTGGTTGCCCCCCAAAAGTTCAGGCTTCATGGCTCCATGCAAGCTGGCCTTGAGAGCTTCCAGGGATGGGGCACCCACAGCTCTCTGGGCAGCCTGTTCTTGAGCTCAGTGGTTTTTGCATTCAGAGGTCCCTTGCAGAGCAGCACATCAGCAGCAGAGGCCCCAGAAGTTCCCCTTTGAGGACCTGAAAGGTCCTTTCCAAAAAGTCTTCTGAATTCCCCTCTTAACTGGCATCAGAGAACACTGAATCTAGGTCCTAAATTAAACAGATTCAATATACCTTCATTGAATTTATCTTTATATCCTTCCACATGTTGATGTGGGCTGATGCATCAGTAATTTTCTATCTAGTGACTTTAAGTTTGGGGGTTTTTCTATCTTTTTTTCATCATAAGTAACATTTTTGTTAGCTCTGCAGAAAGACCCGGCACATGGAAACTGCTCATGTCAGGTATTGTGACATGTCTGTGGTCAGCTGGTGTCGAGAGGAATGTTTGAGGAGGACATTTTCTCAGGGCTGCTCCAGAAATTGCTGGAGAATGGCAGCTCTGAGGACTAGGTCTCAAGAAATTATGGTAAAGCATTCTGCTGTGTAAGGGAAGAAGAAGGGAGGGGATGGGAAAAGTCAGATAAGGTTTGTCATTTAAACCTAAACACAGAATAGCCTCACCTTATATCTTGAAATCTGCATCAATTATAATGCCTTGTTCACTTGCAAATTTCACTTTAAGATAAAAGATCGTGCCTGGTTTGTTTGCCATTCCTACCGCCAAAGACAAGCTTCACTTACTCCCCTTTTATTCTCAATGACTAAGACTGAAAGAGCTAAATTACATTTCCTCCCCCCTATGGAAACCTGATGAACCAGTGTGAACCTGCACCTGAGAACCCCCGGGAACACTGAGGATTTGGCCACACAGATCGGACAGTTGGATGCTTAATTGCATTCTGGGCACAAAGCCTGCCTGGATGTGCATCTTTCATTAAATGTGTGGGAGACCAGAGCAAAAATTAGACCCCGTTTAGGTGCCAGAAGGAGGAAAGTGGTGCAAAGGCTTTGCAGTGCCTGTGTTGTGCTGCAGACTATTGAACTCCTCCTGCTCTGAAAAGCACCCCCTGCATGTCAGCTTGGAGCTCCTAAGCCAGATTTGCTCTGGGTGCTGGGTATTTAATTATTGGATATTAATTATTGGGTACTGCATGCAGATGCACTGTGGTGCTGGTGCATAGTGTGAAGCAGGCATGAGAAAGCACAGCGTGCCTTAAAAGTGGCACCTCTGTACTTTTGAGTCTCAAGACCTTTTCAGAGCTGTTTTGTAGCTGCGTTTTGTAGTTGCAGAGCAGCTGGAGCACAATGAGCGGGTACAGCCAGCGTCCAATACATCTCATGGTGTTCACTTGGGATTTGTAACTCAGGTCTGTCCTCCGGCTCTAAATCAAAACGTGAGTGAAATGCATTGAATGATCCCATTAATATAAATAGGGCTGAAGTTTAAAGCGGGGCTGTGTGAAAGGACTTTTGATACACTGGCTACTGTCGCCCACGAGTCAGCAGGTGGCACCGCCGGAACAATCGGAAACCACCAAACCTTCCCTGCGTCCCGCTTACAGCCCCAGACCTGAGCCTGGAGGGGAATGAGCATGAAACCCGCCTGTTCACAACACACAAGAATGCACAATGAGCACTTGCCAATTAGGGCCGTGGCTATTGTCTGCTAAAGGTCAAGTGTTGGCCTTGCTGAAATCTTTCAACACTGGCTCCGGCGATGGGAATTTAATATATTTTATACTGCTGAAAAGGTGCTTGTCCCTGCACAGGGCACCGCCAGCCTTTCCCCTTCCATGTGCTCTGGGAGGCTTTGAGGAGGGAGGAACCCGGCGTTCTGGGATCTGAATCTGCTACCACCTCCCTGTGGGTGCTGGGGAAGAATGGAGCTGTTGGCAGGGAGGGAGGAGAGGAGGTGGTTTGGCACCGTGGGGAAGGGGAGGGTGTTTGGGACTCGGTTTGTTTCACTGTCTCCCAAGAGATTTTCTTTGTAACCCCGGTGGTACATGTTTTTACAGATTACTACTTTTAGTATCTGTCACTTGAAAAGAATAGATGGTGGAGATACAGGGGGAAAAAACGAAAACACGTGCAAGCAGCAACACGTAAGCAACAAAAAGAACTTTCCCATGAAATACCCTGGTGATACGGATGTTTCAGGGTGCCTCACAAATCTCAGATTAGGGAAAAACTGGAGACCTTCTGCCAAACTCCTGGAACCAGAGGCTGTGGATGAGAGTGTCCAAGCTTCCTCGGCTCCGAAGCCAGATGATCTATTAGCCCCAAAACCATGCCAAGTTGCTGGCAAGGATCCCTTCCCAGACTCGGAAACAAGTAGTCCATGTTTGTATGTAGCTCTGCTGCTGTAGTTGCTGCTGCACGGTGGGGCTCAGTGGTGATGCAAAGGTGTTGGCTTGCAAAGGTGTTGGCTTGCACAGACACCTGGTCTGAGGTGAATCCCCTTGTGCAGAACTCAGGATAGGAGTCATGATGTTGCTTCTTTTGCTCCCCGTTTGGTGACAACCTTTATTCAAGGGGATGGGGACCTTGCTTCTGCTACTGACTGCAGTGTCTCTAGAGACCATGGGTTAGAGTGTCCCCATGGGGTGCACATTCAATTATTAATCTCTTGCACAAGGGCTGACCTTTGTTTCCACCAGTGGCACAGTCAGGATGAGATCAGGGTGGTCCTTGAGAGACCTCCTTCCATTGCCTTCATAGCCACTGACTGAGAGTGGAATTCACTGGGAACAACCCTGTAGAGGACCTGGGGGTCCTAATGGAAGAAGGGTTGGACATTAACCAGCAGTGTGCTCTTGCAGCTCAGAAGGCCAATTGTATTCTGGGCTGAATCAAAAGAAAGGTGACAATGAGACAGGGAGATTGTCCCCCTCCCCTCTGGAGTACTGCATCCAAGCCTGGGGCCCCCAGTACAGGACGGATGTGGAGCTGCTGGAGTGGGTACAGAGGGGAGGCATGAAGATATCAAAGGATGGAGCACTTCTCCTATGCAGAAAGGCTGAGGGGGATGGGCTTGTTCAGTATGGAGAAGAGAAGGCTCCAGGGAGACTTCATTGTGGCCTTCCACTACCTAAAGGGAACTTATAAGCAGAAGGAGACCAACTTTTTACATGATTTAATAGGAAAACGAGGAAGGGTTTTAAACTAAAAGAGGGGAGATTCAGGTTAGATGTTAGGAAGAAATTCTTTACCCTCTGTAATGAGGCCCTGGCACAGGCTGCCCAGAGAGGCTGCAGGTGCCTAATCCCTGGAGGTGCTCAAGGCCATGTTGTAGGGGGCCTTGGGCAGCCTGATATGGTGGGAGGCAACCAGTCCATGGCAGGGGGTTGGAACTGGGTGGGCTTTCAGGTCCCTTCCAAGCTAAGCCATTCCGTAGTTCTATGTTTGGGCTCACTCACCTTCTTGGGCAGCCCCAGATGTGACTCTATGAGATATTTTCCAATGGACATTGGATGGAGTTGGGCCACAATTGAAGTTACAGCTTAATCCCAGAGTTTTAATGTGCTCAACCTGCAGCTTGAACTATGTGCATTCTGTGTGTGTGTGGTCTTGAAAACTTGAAAAAAAAATAATAATATTTGCCCATTTGTTGCTGTGGTGATGAAGGAGTGTGGAACAAAAGAGAGGTATTCCGGTTGCCCCGGGCCTGTGAACAAACAGAATCAGAGAGAGTTGGTGAGAATGTGCTGTTAGCTGTAACCAGAGAAGGCGGCAGTCAGCCACTGCTGCCTGCCTGCAAAGTCTTCATAACCCCCTCTTTCATGCTTGCCCTAGCAAAATGGCATCGTCTAAAGCTGGATGACAAAGAACACCAACAGCTGGACTTGCATTGTGCCAGACCAGACTTGGCCCATAAATCAAGCAAACTGAAAATCTAGCCTCACTCCCTTCAAGGTATTCATTTTCCTAACTTCATTGATAACCTGGTGTGAGCAGATCTGAAGCAAAATGTTATCCTGGCATTGCCAGGACTCGTGGGCAGGCTGGAGGGGGAAGGCAGCGTGCTGACTCCCAGAGATAACAGGTGGAATGTAGCAATGGCTGCTTCTGTTTGCTCTGACTTCTGGGTACAGCTCTCCAGTGCTGCTGGACCCTTTGCTGTCCCCTGCACTTTCATGCCGTCCTGGACAAATGCATGCAAATGAAATCAGAGGCATTTCACAACACCCAGGATCTGACATCGCTGGAAAAAATGCACAGAAAACCGTATCTCTATGCATGTGTGTTAATAAGGAGGCACGGTGCTGCTTCACTGGTGCAGTGTAGGCTCAGAAATTAATTGTAACTGTTGATTCTCAATGGGTGCATGCACAATTGGCATGAAAAGTACATCTTCTATAAATCCCTCTTCAAATATGTGGAAGTGATGGGTTTAATTTAAACCCCGGCTGGTGGAAAAGAAAAGGAAAATAGATGAACCCAAATCAGTCATTGTACCTCAGCCCTGTTTATATTACAGGCATTTTTTAATTTGCTGCAATATAGTCAGAAATGTGAGCTCAGCGCTAAGCCTATCTAGTCTGTAAGGATTCAAGAAGCTGTTAGAACCCTATGAGAAATTATTTCCCCTGTTTCAACCTGTATTTGTTTGTCTGCAGGAACCCAGAGGATGATGCAACCTTCAGCTCAAGTCCAAGCTCACAGCTGAAGGATGCTTAAGCACAGTGTTTTGGGAGCAGTGTTACAGCCCTCGCCAGGTAGAATGGCGTTTTGATGAACTGAAAGCGTGGTGGGTTAAAAATGTGCCCCAATTTAATGCAGTTGATGTAGTTTTAAATACAAAGCTTGTCAATATAAAGATCAGAGTGTCTGGTTTATAGAAGTCAGAGATGGAAAAATACTTACCAAATAGGGCTCTGCAAGGGCTGAATATAGTCCCTCCTACCAGAGGACTGGCTCTCATCTTGCATTGTTCTTTCTTCCATTAACTTGATCTTTGATCTCAGTTCCTGTTAGAAATAACTGTAAACAGTGATGATGTTCTAGGCCATTAACCAGATGTACAAGCAAGGGAGATCCCTGCTACTAATAGACCATCTGAAAAAAAGACACAAGAGTAATGCTTAAGAATAACAACAGTATTTCCCAGAAAAGAAGGCACAGCACTTTCATTTCCTGCAGGATCCATCTGCCATGTCTGAAGCAAATCAGACTGCTGGAAATGTGGTTCACATCACTCTTTCAGAATCGCGGTCCAGGCATCCACAGCCACACTAACTTTTTATTTTAACAAGTGTTCAGCTCACCTAAATTGATAATTTGCTACCCATCAAGCAAATTGATTGAAAAGAAACTTGAATTACAGGTATTTCAGAAGTAGATTCTGTAACAGGGTGTTGTCACGGCTTTCATGTAGCCTCAATTTCGGGTGGTCCTGTGTGGAGCCAGGAGTTAGACTCAATGACCCTTGTTGGTCCCTTCCAACTCAGAATATTATATGATTCTATTCTGTGATCCTACGATTCTATGATCCAGTCACTGCAGAGTTTGAATTCTGAAGCTTCCAGCCCCGTGCAGGAGATATGCTGAGTAATTCCTGGAGCATTGCTCGTGCAGTGGAAAAACACCCTTCTCAGATGAAAGTAATCTGGAAATCCTTCCAAAAAAAAGATCAGGTGGAGCCCGGGCTGATGGTGCTCAGATACAGCAGAAGCACTGTAAAAGTGCATATCTTCGTTCATAACGTCTTCCGCTCATCTGACCTCTAAATAAATGAATACAGGAAATATTCTTTGGAAGTGGTGGAGTCACTGTCCCTGGAGGTTCTTGAAAGAACTGTGGAGATGTGGCACTGAGGGACGTGGTCAGTGGGCATGGTGGGGATGGGTTGGGGCTGGACTAGGTGATGTTAGTGGCCTTTGCCACCCTTAATGATTCTGTGATTCTGAGTAAGGAAGGAGCATCAGAAAAAAAAGCTCAGTTTTACTTTCAGCTATCATAGTTGAGTAATTTTGTAGAGCACGAGAGGCAATATAAATAAAGGTACCATGTGTAGAACAAACAGATCAGAGATTTATATTGTATGTATTTTGTATCCATTATTTATAGGCTTTTGTTAAAGCATTATTTAGCCCTATTCACAATCTTGAGTATTTAAAAGATGAATGTAAAGCCTAGCACTGGAAAAATCATGCAGAGAATGCAGAGAAGTAGATCTGTTTCAAATGTACGTTCAAGTACTGCTGGAGAGCTGTTATGAATAACAGACTGTGGCACTTCCTATTGTTTTATTTTGGTCCTGTTTTAGAGACTTAAGGGCGATGTCATAACAGGGTAAAACTTGTCATGGACACACATTAAAAGCTGAACACAAAGAGAAGACCTTTGATAACAAATATTTGGATATTTAGAGGGGTAATTCAATAAGGAGAGAAAACACTGAAAGTCATTTTTAGAGTTACATGCATGTCTCAGAAATCCTACCTCTCTTCAGACAGGCACATACTGAACTGCAATCGAATTACTACTTCCAGCTCTGCAATTTCAATCATTCATCCAATTTATAGGGGTCTTTTTGTCTTGAATTAAGCAAAATATGAGCCCAACAGGAAATTAAGCAACCAAGCAAAATCAGGAAATTCACTCAAGTGGCTTAGGCAGTGAAATGCCACTGCTATCTTCAAACTAAAACTCCAAAGAGAAAAGGTTGAACTGCAGTCAGATTTATTTTCAGAGTGGCTAATGTGCTTTTAATTTGTAAAGGGTTTGTAACCAGGAGAAAAACAGGCAGAGCCTTACATTGATGTTGTGAGGTTTGCTTTGCATTTCTTTTTTCACATGAGGCCTTAACATGCATATATATACAATTAGTTTTAAAATGCACCACTTGTAAAAAATAATTAGAGCAGCTATCCTAATTACAAAGTTTGAAATACTTGTTTTAAATGAAGTACCTGCTGCCTTCAGAACATTAAAAATGATCTGAAACAGGAAACAGATTCTAAAACTGCACTTCTTCTTCCTCAGAGAACATACTTGATGACTGCTCTCTTGGGGAGAGGGAAATTCTTTCAGCTGTTTACAGTGACCTCTCTGCATTTTGGATCTGCAGATCTGTATGTGGAATATTTTAACTGTTTTTTTTTTGGCAAGCAAAAATCTTTAGTTTACAGAAAATACATCCCTCCCCCCATCTCCAAGCTCCTAAAGAAATTTCTTGCAATCTAATCACAATATCTAGGAACTACAGGGATAGTTATGCTAGGCACTGTACAGCATAGGTTAAACATACAGTCCTTGCCTGAAGAAGTGCCAAAATAAAGATGAGGCAGCCAGCCAGCAGAGAACTGGGAAGACTGTGCATGACGGTCAGCTTGGTTAGCAGTGTGTCTTCAGCACATCATTGCAGGCTTCACCGAGCTTCTGTCGGAGCAAAGTTGGAGGGAGATAAATCCCTAACCTCAAGGTTAGAGGAGTTGTTCAGAACCCCTAACACTGCCACAGGAGAAAGCCAAGAGGTTTGCAATCATAGCTTAATAACGAGACAGAGGTTCAGTGGGTTCTGGTGGCCCTCACTATGTTAGATAAATTGTGATTTGAAATCACAGACATTTTTTTCAGTTGTGATTGTAAACATGCATTGCTGCTGATTTAGCAATGCATTGTGCTCGCTATCAATTTAAGCTAAGTCATGAGAAGCTTCAATAGCTTCAAGAAGAAACCAGGGAGCTTCTGTGGTTTCCATGTCTGGGACTGTAAGGTCTGATTGCTCTTCCTGACTCCAGTATCTATATGGGAATCTTCCTGCTCAGTCCTTTCTGCAAGTTAGGCCCTGTGCACAGCCTTCAACACACCTGCAATAATCCTGGGTCAACATTAAAATAATGCCTATAATCAAATCTCCTCTCCTTAGCCAATAGTATCAGAGAAGAGGTGAAATAATAGCTTCCCAGTTTCCTTTTCCCAATGTACAGACACCAATGCATGCCATCTGTGTCTGTCCATGCATATCTGTATTCACAGTAATACATTTAAAACCAGTTGGACAACTTCATCTGAATTTAGTAAAGACATAGAGGCCTCAAACAGGATTAAGGTTGTAGACAATTTATGGAAGTAGCCAGCTGAACAGAAGACACCCTACAAGTGTTCCCACTGAAGATAAACCTACATAATCAGCTCCCACAGTATTAGACACAGAGAACACAGAAGAAAAGCTTGTGAGGCTTTACACCAATCCCAGCTGCACAAAAAGATTCAGTCAGGACTTGCATTTTAGTCAGTCAGCCTTGAAACACATCCAAAGACACCAGGTTTCATTAAAACAGGCCTATTTATTAGCTCAAATATTATCTCCTCCCTTCTTCAGAGGCATCCTAGATGGCTCACAGCTTGAAACGCAGAACAGTTTAAGTGGGTGCTTTGAAGTGATGGGGAAACCCCTCTTTCAACAGGACTGATGGATGTACGTTGCTCCCCTGCACAGGGTTCATTGTGGGTCAGGATGAGATTTCCCTCCCAGCTGGAGGAACAGGGACATGAAGGTTCATTTGTCTTTTTTTTCCTGCCCTTTCTCTACAGCCATCGGCCTGGCTGACCTTCTGAATCATTCAGACCATCGTAAAAGCCTCAGGCAAAAGCGATCGCTCTTGTTTTCTGCTTGTGAAACACAGGTTAGTCTCCTGAGAATTAAAATACTTCAGTTTAATTGAAACCTTTAGGTTTAATATATGGGCCTATTTGCTAAAATATAAAGATCTGAGGTGAGCAGAGGTCACGTGAGGTGATCGCATGGTGCAGTGTCTGGGGGGCCTGAGGGGTAAAAGCTGCCTTTGCTTTAGTAAAAGATAGACAGAGGTGGAACGGGCTACAAAGGGCTTTGAATGGAAGACAGACAGCATGCATTTGACACAAGAAAAACAAAGACAACAGACAGTTGGAAGGATAAAGTTGGTGTGGCCAAAGGACACGGCTAGACAACCACTGCAGAACCATTTTGAATGGATATGAATGGTAAGATTGTATTAGTCAAGTAAAAACGAAGAGAAAATGAAAAGTTCTGTTTGAGTCACAATGAGCTCAATCTGCCAGTTATCTATTGGGGATGGGATTTCTGAGACACAGGCTACAATTTCAGTTTGAGTAGAGGAGGCAGGTCTGGGAGTATGAGTAGAAACGTCCCATTTGAATTGTCATCTGCAAGGGAAATTATCTAGAAATACATGATGTAGAAGAAAACCCATATACCTGATGATTAGCATGCACAAATTCACATGAAGAATCCATATTTAAAATCTTAGGTATATATCACTTTGCTCTGTGCTAAATTCGTATGAAAATGTATCCCTAAATCCCTAGTTCGATTTGGTGCTTAAAACAGCTCTTTATTTAACCATGATAGATTTAAGAATGAGATAAAGTGAAGTACTGTTTTGCGACCACTTTGTCTTCCAGTAAGGTTTCATATTTGGAAGTCTCAGGTCAAAGGCATTAAGGCCTGTCACGATGCCACCTACCTCTGTACATCTTCCACCGCTCCTCGGCAAATTTTGAGGTAGAAAATAAGAAAACCATACCTATGCAAGTATAAACAATTCTTACACTAAGCAAGTGGTCATCCAGCATGTTTCTGAAGGACCGTGACTTTGTTACTTGCTGCCTTAGATTTCTGGATAAGTTATAACAAAAGAAGTTAAGTACCAGAACTGTGCTTACTACTGTCTTCTTCAAAACAAAACAAAACAGCAATAAAAAACGCCAAAAACAAATTCACTCATTAAAAATGTGGAAAAGGCTCCTACAGAAATTGTCGAAATATGTTGCATGATACGTTGCACAGAGCATGCTTTAACTAACAATGCTCATTAACCATATTTATGTGCTGGCAATTGGCATTCTTTATCCATCATATTGGAAATCACTAGAGTATGCAACAGATTTGTAAACCCTGCCCTGAACAGAACATACTCTAATTGTATTAGAGAACACTAGCAGCTCTCAGAGATGCACCAGGATATACGTAACTTTTCCATTTTAGCTGTCCCTGGCTTTGCCCAAGAGAGAAATGAGTTGGGGGAAAGTTTTGGGCTGAGAAAAGGTTTGATCATGAGGTGAATAAGATGTTTTGTAAAGCAAGCAAGTGTATGGTCTTGGAAGGTCTATGAAGGAAGTGTCATGTATTGGTTTTGCAAAAAAGAACAAGGCATTTGGAAATTCATGTAGGAGGGACTAGAAACTTGAGTAGGCAGAAGATGCTTTGGCTGAACTCTTAGCAATTTAGAGTTCTCTTGAGTGGGACCATTCCTAGGAGACTGTAGTGAAAAAGCAAAACAGTGCTATATTGGCTCAGTACTTGGAGCTTGATTTGCCCTTTCTGAAATCGTATGGCTAATTCAGACCTTGGAAAATGGAGTATATCCTGGCCAGATGGCTTGGTTTAAGAAGAGGAAGGCAACTGTGTAGCTGCAATAGCAGGTAATAGAGCTGAAAGGCTGGGTATAGGAAAAATTGGCTGTGTACAGGGGGCATAGGATAGAGTCACCCTTCCATGAAATCCAATAAAACCTGATCTGGTCATGATTAACTCAGCATTTTAAAAATCCTTTTAAGAGTTCACAAAGAACATAATGTCTAGCCAACTTGTAGTGGTATATGAGACCCCTGATTCCAATGTCCCAGGATGTCAGCTCTCTGCTTGTTTCCGATTTTGATGCTGAACACTCCTTTGCTTCTCAGTCCCAGCTTATTTATTTAGCATCCGTACTGCTTTATCTCATTTATAATGAACCCACGGACATAAGTAAGGAAAAGTTTCTTACACAGAAAACTGATCTGTTAGAGCAGTCTGAGCAAGGTTAACGTGAAAACCACCAACTGATACACGCAATTAGTGGCTGAACTTCCTCTTGTGCCCAGAATCTGTACGCTCAGCTGTGAAACTGATAAACAGAGAGAATGGAGAAGTATATTTTCATCTTTGATGAAAATCAACCATGCTCAAACACCCTCTTTAAACATACAAGACACCTCAGAACCTCATGCTCTGACTCCGGTAACTGTTCCACATCAGACTCTGGAGTCAGACCAGTTTTTTCTTCTTCACTCCCTTGTGTGGGAATGTCAGGGGTGGAGAAATGGAATCCACATTGCCTGCTTGCTCCTGAGGTCAACAGGAAAGTGACCCTGATAGAAACAGGATCAGTGAAGGATTTTATTAGATCTGGAATGTTTCTGAGAGGCCTTCATAAATTTGTATTCTGAACCAGAGGCCCCTTTTCCATCTTACATAGTTTATGTGGAAACAGATGAATAACTAACAGTGATTACTAAAGGAAGACAAATATCACGACTTGGGGTAAATTTACCTGAGACTTGATATCAGTATCCCAACTTATTTCTTTGCGTTGCTTTTAAAACTCTTTGTAAGATCATTGTATAGAGTAAAGAAACCAACTTTTGGCTTAGTAATGCTGTGCTAAGTAAAAATTGGTTTACAAAGCACCTTTCAATGAACTTGAATCAGAGCGTTGGAAGTGTTTATCTTAACCTTATGAGCAGCTCTGCACGGTAGAGTGTTAGGTCCTTTTCATACTTTAATTCTTTAACAGAGACCAAGTAGTTGCTTGGCTCTTTATCTACAACCAGTTACAAAACAAAAATAAATTTTAAAAAAGAACTGAGCTGCACAGTCTCGTCCATTTCCATTCTTGATCTTAAGTGGTAATTTGCCTAGATTGGCATGAGCTTACTACCACATATATATAGCATTAAGGTCTAATTGTTTTTGCCTGAGAGGCAAAGCCAACGGGCCACACATGCCTACCTGCTGTATTCTGACTAAGAAAGGAAAAGCATTCCCCTCTGTTCCTGAATAACTGGTCCTACAAGCTAGATGGACCTAGGAGATGGGGTTTAAGAGGAACTGCTATTCCTATTTGTATATAGAAGTCACAAAAGACCAAACTCAACTATTATCTGTATATATGCTGAAGACTTGCTTATGCTTACTTGAGCACTTAGGTGCATAAAGCAATTACCAGAATGATATCTTGAGCAATCACACCATGCATCTGTTTCCCCAGGTGAAAACTTTCTCCCAAGGGTCATTTTGATTGTCTTGTTGCACTTATTTTGGCCCATACTTTATTGTGAAGTTATTTTTGTGTCACTACCGCTTTAGGTGTTTTGTTTTCTTAAATTTAGAAACATGTCTACATTCATGTCCCACTGTTGTGTTAGAAACAGATGGCACTTCCTGGAGACACACAGTTGATTGAACAGACACCGACCACTTTAACATGTAGTAACATGTTTGTAATTAGATATTCTAAAGTGCTAGACAATCACTATCAGAACTTCTCAAGAGGGAAACTTAGGTATGTATTTACCAAGATCTGAACTGTAACTTGGATCCTTGACAGAGTTTTACTCTTGAGTATAAAAGACTATGGTTTCATACTGAATAATGTTGATTAAAGCTTCCACCTGCCCTGTCTCAGAGCAGATCATCCACTCCTGTCTTCCATGCTAGCCACTAGTTTTGTTGACCCTTGTAGCTGTATGTAAATAGCCCATGAAGTAAGTTTTGGGATGCAACCAACTGATCAAAGTAATTAGCACCCCTGTTATATCACCAGTTTAGGGCTCAACTTCCCACCTGCTTTACAATTAAAGTTGAAAACAGCTCCACCCCAAAAGAACAAAGAATCAGCCATTGTCACAATGGAAAAACAGTTGATAAAGCTGGAGAAAAGAATGGAAGATGATAAAAAAAATAAAAATCAGGGGACGAATTACAGTAAAGCATTATAGAAGATGGGATAAATACTGACAAGTCTGTAAGGTAATTTAATTACTGTGTGGTTTTATCTAAGTTGGAAGTCTCCAGCTGACTGCTGGGGGAAAGCAGCTGTAGCCCCTTTCACATGCTTCCCCCATGGCCACATGATTGGCTGTAAGTAAACTGTTGCAATCAAGAAGCAGTTCAGTTTCAGAAGCAAAAGATTCCTCTGGTTTTACCTTACTTACAGCAGAAATACCATGGGAGGCTGTGGGAAAGTGCAGTGCCTTAAGTAAGGGCAACTATAAAAATGGTTAAACTTGTAGGTAAGGGAAAACCAATTTTACATCAAAATCTCTCACCTCAGCTGTTAAACTACAGTGGAATACTTAGATGTAACAATTGTGAAAGATGAAGCTGTTATGATTTGTTGTTTTTTTGGTTTTTTTTTAAGAAGAAACTAAATTGTTAATTCTAAGTTTGGATGAGGATTCAGCAACGAAATACTTGGAGGATAATTTGTTTTCCATGGTGAATTCTGTGTACAAAACTGATTACAGAATGGAGCCAAATCTCTGCCAAAGATACGGATAGGATCGTGAAAGCAGATGAGCTACAATTTCCCATGCACTAGAATTCACAACAAGGCCAGAAGCAAAATGAGCACAAGCTGAAAGTATTTCAAGAGCCAGGACTGAACTATGGGAGAAAGCTGTGCCTTCCTCTGCGAACCTTTAATCTCTTGAAAGATCTTTCTAAAGAGAGGTAGGTGTTGATCTTCCAGAGAACTGGTACACTAATTTAAATATTCACTTTATAATTTGTGAAAGGTATCTTGGAAAACTATCTGAAAAGATTTCAGACTAAGGTTCACCAAAATAAAATTGCAAACGCTTTCAAGAGAAGAGGTATTGAAGGAGGGTGTGAAAAAAGAAAAATAATGAACAACAAGGAGCACAACCTGGAAATGCTGTTGGAATTGGTTTTAATGTACTGGTCTCCTAGAGTTAAAATTCTATAAGGGTGGTGAGGCTTTGGCACAGGTTGCCCAAAGAGGTGGTGGATGTCCCATCCCTGGAGACACTCAAGGTCAGGCTGGAGGGGCTCTGAGCACCTGGTGGAGCTGCAGGTGTCCCTGTTCATTGCAGGGGGGTTGGACTAGATGGTGTTTATGGGTCCCTTCCAACTCAAACGATTCTATGGCTGCAAAATAAAAATGCCACAAGCACAGTTTTGATTGGAATTCTGCATTCCTAACTTCAGATACCTACTGCAGCGTGGTCTTGTACTTTATCAAAATCTTACAGGATAATGGGATAAAGTCAACTGAAAAAAAACCACCTTTTGTGTCATAGGAAAGGTGTTGAAGCACTACAAGGAAAATCTAAAGGACAGGTTGCAGAAGGCTGAAATAACAGATGCTCGTTATAGGGATGCCAAGATCTCGTTAGCAGTCACCGTTAACAAAAAATACCCGTAAGCCAGCAATGTTAGGCCTGTAGGCAACAGTAAATCAGGGTTTGGTTTCTCAGAACGGTAGGGATTATGCACCCACATAAAGCAGCCTCTGCCCTGACAAGCGCACACTGCAATTGCTGTCCAAACACATCCCACTTCCTCGCTGCGATTGACTCATAACTGCTTTTGAAAAACTCCCATAGGAATATTTCTTGCAGGACAACGAGCAGCTCGATTTTTTATTTTATTTTATTTTTCTGGCTTCCATCTTGAGAGACAGCAGAAGATGGCCCCAGCCAGGCGGGACCCCGGGGAGCCGCACCTGAGGCGCTCCCTGCGCGAGGCGGGAAGCAGACAGAGGGCAGTGCAGCCCCACGGCGTGCTGCCCGAGCGGCCGGGGAGAGCCGGCGGCGGGCAAGGCGAGAAACGAGCCGGCGGCGGGCAAGGCGGGCAAGGCGAAAAACGAGCCGGACCCGGCGAGGGGAAACCAGCGGCGGCGGGCCGGAGGAACTTTAAGCGGCACGGTCAGGCCCTGCTCCGGCCCCCAGCAACCCTCAATTTAGCTGAGACCCCTCCGACGAGCAGCCTAGGCAGGCGCAGCGCCTTCCGCCCATCCTGAGGTAATCCCCTCACCGCCGCCACCGCGCACGCTCAGCGCGGACGGGCTGAGGCTGCGCGGCCCCGCGTCCTCCTTGCGGCCCCATCCGGGAACGCGATGACGTCATCGCCCCCGGGCGAGGAGCGCGGCCCTCTCTCTGCACAAGCGCGCCTCCGTACGCTCCCCGGGCTCCCAATGAGAGCAGGCGGGCGCTACGCCTCCTGGGGGCTGTAGTCTGCCGCGTTCCCCCGACCACACAGCTGTACGGCCCTGCGGGGCACAGGCCCGCCTCCCGCCTCTTGTGGGCGGGGCCAGCGCGCATCGCGGCCCAATAGTGGGGCGGGTGAAAGGTCGGCGGGAGGGTGCTGTAACCAATGGGAGCGTGCGGGAGCCGGGAGGGGGCGGAGCCAGCTGTGTTTTGTTCAATTGCCATTGAGAAGCCCGGTCCATACGCGGAGGGGAGGCGGCCCGTGCGGGCTCAGGTACCGGCCGCGGGTTTGGCGGCGGCGGCGCGGAGGCCGCGGGCCCGGGTGAGAGGGCAGTGGGTAAACGGCGGCCCTGGCGGTAGCGGTTGGGAGCTGCCGTGCGGTGGGAGCAGAGCAGGGCGGGCGGTGGGGCCGAGGCCCCTTCACGGAGCTGCGGTAGCGGCTGTGTGTGTGCGGGGCGGGCACCCGCGGCTGCCCTTTCCTGCGGCGCCTCCTGCGTGAGGACGCGTGTGGCGGTGGGGCTGCGGCTGGAGCTGAGCCTGGCTCCATTTTCCGCCGCCGTTAGAGGGAGAGTTGGGATGGCAGCAGCCCTGCTAGGAGGAGGAAAAAAGCGTACGTAATAACAATAATTAAAAAAAAAAAAAATCACCCCGAAATCCTCACGAAAATACTTCGTCGGCGTTCGGAATCTGAACAGGGGTTTGGCAGGCGCTTAAAATCAGCGGGTCGCAGGCCGGTTGGTTGTTTAGGAGCTCTCCAGGCCTTTGTGCAGGCGTGGGGCTGCTCCCTGGGGTTGCTTCCATCCCCCAGCAGCCTCGGGCGGCTCGGTTCCGAATGACGGCCTCAGCGTAACGGGCTGAAGCGTCAGACCCGCTCCTAAACGGGCTCTTTATGCTGTGCCAGCTTTTCTCAGGGCTTTGTTCTGGTTGTTTGGCTTGCCAAATGCTCCTGCAGCCTGCACGCAGGATTCCATAAGAGTGGTTTCTGGGGATTTGAGGTGGCCCTCCGGGTTGGCATTGCGTCACTTCTCTCTTAGCAGACAGAATCACAGAACTGCCAGGGTTGGAAGGGACCAAGGATGATGAATCTCCAACCCCCCTGACACATGCAGGGCCACCAACCTCCACATTTAATGCTAGACCAGGCTGTCCAGGGCCTCATCCGATCTGGCCTTGAACACCTCCAGGGACGGGGCATTCCAGACAGCTGGAAGTTGAGTGGCTTTCTCTTTAGGTAAGGCTCCCGTCCCTCTTAAGTGCTCAGAAAATTCCTGTGCTTTGTAGCAGCGCTGTTACTTAGGGGTAAGAGGTTGCTTTCAGCCCTGAGCTCCAGGCCTGAAGCAGAACTGAGCTCTGTTCTGCTTTGGTGTGCTTACATTAAATTTAGCTCCTGAGAACACTGGTTACAGCCTTTATGGTTATGCTGTCTCCGATTCATATCTTAACTACTAGGAAACGTTTCCATCCAGGCCATTTTTGGCAAGAAGCAGGAGGTTTCTGCACGCTGTGGTGAGCTGAAATATTTCTGGATAGGTTTTAATTGTGAATAGGCTGATTGCTTCAGGTCAGGCTTAGGGAATCTGGATCACAATGTCTGCTGAATGGCAGAAACTTTCCAAGCAGAGCATGTGACTTGAGATCTGGTTTTATTGGAGGTGCAATGGATGTGATACAAGAGCTTGAATCTTTACAATTATTGTGCTTCTGAAATGCCTGGGAGATGCACATTCTGAGGCAGAAAATTTTTTTGGGAGCTAAAGCATACATCCTTATTAGTTTTACATAAGGTGACTTCCATGTGATTAACGTGGAACTACTAACTAAAAAATGTTTGCTACTCATTTATTTTGAATTTCTGGGAAATGCTATTAGTGTCACTGTTTTTAGTCATCCCTCATTTTAGTCATTAACAAGGCTCTTTAGCACGTGAAAGTGCATGCTGGCTATTAGATATAAACTGAAAATGATCTACCAGATCCTTCCCTACTGATACTATTCCAGGCCGCCTTGTGCTGTGGCCATCTGCCTGTCCTCTAGCAGCACTGCCAGTGTGTAACTCATTGTTATTGTCTCTTAACTTGAAAATTAAAGTTAGTTAAGTGATTCTAAAGAAGTGTCTTAGATTGGGCATAGTAAATTTCTGTATTTCCTCTCGAAAGCTGTTTAGTGTAGGGTACTGTGATTGGGAAGAATGAGGAGGCTGAAAAAAGAAATACCTTTAGTTGCAACGTTTGTGTTAAAATCTTTAGAAGCTTAGCACGTGGCGTAAAGCTGAACTTATGAAAATCCACTGGGCTGAGAATTAGAGAGTTGAACTTTCAGATTATTTCAATTTATTGCATTGATTGTTTTATTTTAAAATGGTATGTGGGGCTGATTCTTTCCTATAAGAATTCCTTGAGAGTCTGGTAACCATTATTGTGGCTCCCTTGTTTTAGTTCCGACCCCTTTTCCCTTCTCTCTCCTTTCTCCCCCTTCCTCTATTGCCTCCCCCAATCTGCATTCCTTTGTGCTAGCAGTGATGATGGCAGTTCTAGTCACCTCCTGTGGTTTGATAGATTATTCCCTTTAGAAACATGTGTACTTAAAACTTTCCAAACATGATTCTTTTTTTTTTGGCTCCCACACTTTTTTGATGATGGCTTTGAGTTTTGTTTGTAGAATTTGTCCTTTCTGTTTTTGCTTTGAATTTTCATATATAGCAGAGAGAAATCTTGTTAAACCTTTAATGGAAAGTATTAGTACTTATATTGTTGTTTACATTTCTTTTTGCATAGTTGGGAGGTGATAATATACACAGCAATTTTGCTTTTTGGCAGCACTGAGTTTCCTTCTTCCCTGCAAGCACACAAGTTACGTTCTTTTAGCAGGAAACTGTTTGCTTGAAATTTTTATTTCTCTAAAGTAAATTTGGACTATTTTTAAATTACTACATTTCTCATCTGTCGTTCATGGGCTGTGCAAGTGTAGAACCTAAAATCAAGAGAATTGTCAGCGCTCTAATATTAATCTTTTCTACTTTTTTTTTTTTTCTCGAGTCAATCAGTTCATGCAAGTAATGTCATCAACAAGCTGGCAAGGAAGTCACAACTGTCAGTGTTTTGTAGTGGGCAGAAATAACTTGTGAAGGCCGTGTTTCTGTGAATTGCTTGCTCGGGGTGAGGCAGCAGGCAGGGCTGTTGCTAAATACGTTATCTGGGTTATGGCTCTTGGTTTCCTGACAGCAGTATTCTTTCATGCAAGCAGCTGAAGATCTCGCTTTAGAATATATAGAAAGTTTCTTTACTGTATATAAAGAAAACTTACTGAATTGCAAAACCAGAATAATACAGCTAGCTTTGCACTGCTTGTATTTGTGTTATGTTACTGAAACCCTGTCCACCACCTGTGTAATGCTTATTGATGTTAGCAGTAAGAGCAAGGGTTCTGATTACCTAACGTTAGCATCATTGGTCTGAATTTGGCATGGCAACGTTAGCTGAAGACCTGTGAAAATGAACCTCCAACACTTAAGTGCAGGGAAGAATACTTGCCATGGTATGTCAGATTGCAGGCCCAGAGCTTTGGGAGCACACGAAGACCCTCACCCAATGCCAGAGATGGTGATTACCCTTTGATCGTGTGGGTACAGACAGAGCTAAGGGTGTGAAACCAAACTGCGTTTTGCCTAGAGCTGTCATTAAGTGTTTGCAGAACTGTCTCAGTACAGTCAGAAATGCATGTTGTTGCAGGAAAGGCATCTGAGATGGAAGAAAGCAGCTTTTGCTGAGCTTTAAAATTGGAACCCAGCTGGTACAGGAAAGAATTGGTGAAATCACAGAATGGCCAGGGTTGGAAGGGACCTCAAGGATCATGAATCTCCAACCCCCGCCCGCCACATGCAGGGCCACCAAATGAATGCAACAAAAATGACTGCAGCAACAGTGTCTGCACCTTTACTTTTGTGCTTATATCTCTGATTTGGGAAGACAGGACATGAGTTCCTCTTTCCTGAAGAAATCTTGTTTCTTTGTCAGCCCAGGCAGTTGGCTTGCTGCTACTTCTTAGTGCATTTAAAACTTATAGATTTATGGAATGTCACAATTATAGTTTGGAGATTTCTATATTAATGCCAGAGTGAGTTAACTTTTTAAAACCAAGCAAGAACCATTACTGTCCTAGTGGAACCTCATAGGACAGGGCTGTGGCTCCTCTTCTACTGTCACCTTCCCTTGAGCCAAAAACAGGAATAATAGGAGCTTCTGTTGGTGCTATATTAACTTTAGGTCTCTAATTTGCATCTCAAATAACATTGTGAACAGCTTTAATGCCTTTGAGGGGTTTGGGAGGTTTTTAAAATTTGTATGGTAAGTGTGCTTTTCAGCCTAATTGGGCAGCTCATATTATTATGGCATGCTTAATTCTTCTTTGTGCAGTTTGTGTTGAGGTAAATGGTACTACATTCTTCCTTCACCTACTCTGCACCTATATTATGTCTTGCTATCTTGTTTGTGGCTTTACATTTTGCACTATTCCTGTCTTGCACTTCATGCAGTTACTAGTGGATACTTGGGTTCTTTATTATACTTGTCAAAGCTTGCTCATAGGGCAAATTCTTGTCTGCTTCCGTTAACTCCCCCTACGTTCCCACTGACAGATGTATTCCTTTGAGGGTTGTGATTTGACCTCTTCTGATTTTAGAGGGGTGAAAACTTGAAGGAAGAAAAAAGTTGCATGTCATTTGGATCTGTCGAACCCTGTTGCTTTTATCAGCTTCCAGACTCCAGAAATCACATGCAGAATGTGAAAGAACCTGGTGTGTTTGGAGTCTGCTGTGGTGTAGGATGTGGATCAAACATGGAATAGTGGAATTGTGCTTGGCCAAATGGCTCTGGAACAGAACTTTTTTGTTAATTTTTCACAGTCTTAATAGCAGTGGCAAATAATTATGTCCTGCTTGGAATGGAGCATGGTGCTGTGTAAGCATGCCCTAAGACTACTGCTGTGCTTCACAGCATCATTTGTTTCACAGTGTTTAGCGAGGAGGAAGAGAGGAGTAATGAAAACAGCATTTGGTAAGTAGCTAATCAGTGAACTAGCTAAACATGGTATATATTTCTTCTAGTGGAAAAGGAGAAAGGAGTGAGTACCTAGAACCTCATCTTTGCTTTTTTGAAATACAGTTAGAAATAAAACCAAGTTGATGAATTTGAGGAGTGTGGGTAACTTGGGCTGAACTGAAGCATGGTGGTTTGCTGTAAGGGCTTGGAAAGGTAGATAACAACAGCAGAGCTCCTGGTTAGAATATTTCTGTCACTGAAACCTGGGCATGAAGCTGAAGCTCATGGCTGCTCACCTCTCTAGATGTTGTTTTCCACTTGAGCTTAGCTAGGTGTGTGCTTGCTTGCCATGTCTTTTTCCATCAGCACTGCATCCTGACCAGGCTTGTTCACTTCAGTGTTTGAATAAGAAATCTCTGTGCTCTGGAGGTGAGACAGGATGCTTGTTGCACTTACTCCAGTTTTTTTTTTTTTGCAAATCTGTTCAGAATGATGACCTATAGATCGGATTTGTATCAGGTGAGCCATTAATATTACCAGAACTATTACAGAGGAGGAAAAAATATGTAGTATTTTGTCCATTGTATGCTTCTTAGGTGTCTCATTTGTGCTTAAGCTCTTAGTTCATTTTTCCTCAGTTTAATGACTTCAAAGTTTGCACTTTCAGTGTGAACATATAACTTATTTTGGGCACAGACTTCCTCCGACTGGCTGTAGCTAATGCTGTCTGCTGTGGCTCCATATCTTCAAGGTTCTGTATCTGTCAGTTTTTATTTTGGAGTATTTGGTTTGCATGCAGTGTTTTCCTATAGCCAAGCCTAAGGCTATAACTGCAGTAAAAGGTGTGTGCATGTGCTTTTGTGAGGATGCTCTGTGACACCACGGTGAAAGCCATTACATCACTGGAATGCTGCTTTTTGGTTGTCAGAAGGCATCTGATTCTGGAATTTGTTGGTCAGAGCAGAAGGATACCAACAGCATGCAACAGTGCTGCTGAAATTCTCGTATTGCTGTGAGATATAATTGGACTTGATTTATTTCTGCATGAGCAAAGTATGAGGCAGGTATGAGTTTTCTGTTGTCGTACACCAAAGGCATCTGGACAAGCAAACATTAAGCTAGAAATTAGCTAGAAATTGTGAAGTTGTTTTCTGAAAAATGAAAAGACTGACTTCTAGCTCATTCAGAATAAAAGTGTTTGACTGCACGATGGGCAAAGACACTACAGTAACTTCAAATTGCGATAGCCCCCCAAAATGGCTGAAAAGGATGTGGGCTGGTTGTAAGCCTCATGGCCAGCCGTATTGTGCATCTAATTTGATTCATAAAAAGTTTGACCAGCTCTCCTTTTTCTCCAATTCAGCATTTTGCTTGTCCTTGGCATTAACGCTCATTTTGAATACAGGGCTAGACATGTTCCTTTCTGCAGTGCAAGCTTACTGTCTAATCCCATGGGCATGAGGGACATCTATTCTTATCCCTGTAGTAATCTTTCAAAAAATATTTGAACTGTTTTTATTGTCATCTTCCTGTTTTCTCATGTTTTGTCTTTCCACATCTCTGCCCTTCCCCCTCAGCCCTGTGTTGATTTTGGAATATATAAAGCCAGTGTATTCATATCTTCATGGGAAGTCATGTTTTCAGCTCTAATTGTTCTTTTTATTTTTTATAACCTCAAAGTTAGCTTGCATCTTGGATCTTCAAGTGTGGTGCTTGAAGCCCAACTTTGTATTCTAGCTGAGACTTTCCTGTGTTGATTGGGTTAAGGCTGTTTTCATGTGTTCTTGTTTGTGCATCTCCAAACATTTGACTTGCCTACAAGGGTTCAACCCTTGTTTCAAGGTCAGCCTGTTGCTCCAGTGCAGCCAGCAGCTTTCTGTTCAGGCCCTCACCTTGCTGTCTGCTTGATTAGTGCTGCCCAAGCACACCTTTCACGGATTAATTGTATCTGATATCATTCAGAACAGTTTTGCAGTGTGTCAAAGTTGTGCAGTTTTAATTGTTTTGCATTTTTCTACTTCTCTGCTATTTGTCCCATCGTTTGTTACTGACAGTTTACTCAGTGAATTGAACTGGATTCCTGCTTGGTGTATTCTCCTGTGTGCCACTGGTAGCTGCTCTCTGGGTATGGTTATCCAACAAGAACTGCTCTTGCTGTAGAGCCTTTACTTGCTTGCCAGCATCAGAAGTCACTGAACTTGATTGTGTGACCTCAGTGGCTTCTCTCCTGTCCCTAAACCCTGTGCTGGGATGCCAAAGTGAACACAATTGGATGCTGCTCACCTCCTCATTACCTTTTAGTGTTTAAAACTGAGATTTGGGACATCAGTAACATGAATGTGACTCTTTTTGATGTTGAAGGGAAACTTCTGAAACTCATGTCCAAAACTTTTAAGTGGTGTGTTGCTGCCTGGGCTCAAACCTGTCACATAACAGCCTGGTGAAATCCTAACTAAATTGACGTAAGAAATCTTGAACTTTCTAGTGAAGAGTTTCTGCCAGTCCCGTCTCTGTTAGAATTGTTTGACAAAGTTCTGGAAATACTTCTCATTGTTCTTCCAGCCTCTGTCCCTGTAAACTTTAATCTCCACTTTCCAGCAATTTCCTCAATTTTTGCTCTAATCATTGCATTGTGCACGATCTATGCATATCTAGCAGTTGATCCTCATCACCCACAGGCAGTCAAGTACAGTTTTCATGCTGTTGGCTGCAATGTGTAATAATCTCTTGTAACCATTTCTTTCCATTGTGTGCTCCAAGGAGACAGACAATCTATCCTTGGCAATCGTGCTTCAGTCTTAAATTCAGAAGAGGCTTAAAAAGTATGGTAATCGTTTTCTAAAAACATTTAATGTTGGTCTGTAAAATCCTAACTGAGAGCACTTCAGTGGTTACTTCTGACCTGCAGTGTGTTGCCAAATGTAAGGCAGCATCTCTTGGAATTGAGGTGTTAAACAGTGTGGGTGATGAAATGTATATTGAAGAATCAGAGGGGCTGGAAGGGACCTCAGAAGATCAAGTCCCACCCCCTGCTAAAGCAGGTTCCCTATAATAGGTTGCACAGGTAGGTGTCCGGATCTAGAAATAGATCAAATGGCACTTCTCTGTCATAGTAAGATGTACATAATACTTCAGTTGCTCTTGGATTGAAAATTAGATTGAGTTTAATGTACCTTGTTTGTCAAAGTCTTTATTAAATAAGACTGTATTAAATAAATTGGATTAATTGAGAAGCTTCAAAGCAGCATTTCAAATAAACTTAATGGAAAATAATATGACTAATGATCTTGACTGCCCTAAGAACAGTGTTTCCAGCAGGACTGCAGAACTAGTGAGAGAAGACTGGGAAGCCTGGGACCTTCCTTTCCCTGCTCTCCATTTCTTGCTTGAGCAGGATCAAATAACACAGAACCAGTTTTTAAGTTTTGAACTTGGTGAACTGTTAAACAGAACCCAACTGAAGCAAATGCTTTTTGCACCTGCAGCTGTCAGAAGCTTGTTTATCACTGAAGTTCTCTTTGGGTTCAGGTGCTGAGCCATTGACTTCCCTTGAACACAGTGGTTTGGTGTTTCAGAACTTCAGCAGGAAACATACTGTTGCTCTTTACAGACTATGGCGTGTTTAACCTTTGCTAGAGTGAAGGTGCCAGAATCTCAGATGTAATCTCAGAGGCTTATTTTGGAGTGTTTAGATAAAGCATGCTATTATTGGTATCGAAAGATTTCATTTGAAATCTTTCTCTTGGAGGGCTGAGAGTTTTCAAGTGAAGAGCTGAAAGGACAAACTTGCATTTCTTTTGCTGTTGACTTTATCTGATTAAAATCTTTGTTTTGTCCTTCAGCTTGGTTACCTGGTCTTGTCAGAACGCTGTCATCTGTAAGCATAATTGCCCAAGTGGGGAGGACACAGGTTTCTCATCTAAACATTCATGGTCCTGTGCTCTCTTGCACTATTTTTGTCTGTAGGTGTATGTGCTTGACCTCCTAGTCAAGCAATTTACCTGCCACCATTTGAAGACCCAGCCTTATGTCCTGATCAGTAAAGATTTAAAACAAAAGACTTTCTCTGTCCCAACTTTCACTTCTTGTCAGGCATTCTTGGAGCTGCACTGTACTAATTGCCCTGTACTAATTGCCACTCAGTCCATGATACGTGTGTGCTGGTTGGCACCTTGTGTCCACTTGCTTCCCATCCAGCAGCATGGTTTTGCATTCAGACTATGTACCCTATAGTGGGTGAGAGTAAATACGGCTTGGAGTCCTGGTGACTTCAACAATCCACTTTGGCAAATGAATCTCTCCACAGGCCTTTCATGTAGAATTAGTGACTCATTCATTAAACTCTGATAGGGTTGTGGTAGTGCACGCTGAAAATGCTGAGATTTTCTTTTAAGCTGAAGATCCATTTTCAGCATTCAAAAGCAAGGAACACCAGTGTAATTTGGGGGAGTTTGTCTTAAACTGTTTTTTCCTGATTTAGCATAGTCATCTTCTCCTGTGGTGTAACTTCTGCTGCCACCTGAGATCTCCATTTAGTAATTGTTACAAAAACTTTTCCTAAATACCTGCTGGAGTTGTGTACCCACTTTACTTTGTGTCTTGAGTTCCTTAACAGAGCATTTTCTGATTTAAGCTGGTTGGTGTATAGTTGAAGGCTGAATGCTCAGGCAAGAAAAGCAGTTGCCTTGCTTCTGGAATGATTTAGTGAACCAGGAGAACCTAAGCTGCATAGCTCAAAGGAATTAATTTATTGAAGTAGCTGAATAAGCCTGGTGAGAGGGATGCCCCTGATGACACATGGAGCAACATCTGAGTTAAACGTTGAAAGTCCACATGATAACAGTGTATGTACTGCTGTCCTCTTTATTTCTTTCCAATGCTATAGGGAACTTTTGTTACGGTCCTCTCATACTCTGAGTGTTGGTGGATTGTTTCTGTGAGTTCCTGTGTGGTAGAGCAGTATATGTGTCGTGTGGACCTGTTCAGCAATTTTTTGACATTTGAAAACCTGTGGGGGTGTGCAGAACAGAAATTGGAAGCCACCAAACAGCAGTTCAGAAGAGTAAGGAGCACCAGTGACAACTTCAAGCTAGTATTTGGTTTTGGTATTTGTAATGCAATGTATGAGACCCCTCTTGTCATTAAAGGAAATTATGCTACTTCAGAGCTGTGTGGCCTGTAGACTTCCTGAATTCTAGTGGAAGAGGTAGCTGGATTGGTGTTAGGAAACTTGGTATTTGAATGCTGCCTCCTGAAGTCCTGGAGGTGTTGTGTTCTGCCTGAGAAGTTGAAGGATAGGAAATTGCAGATGGTCAGCCATGATTGACAACAAGCTTAGGGCTGTGAAAGGGTACTTGTTTTGTCTGTTACATACGGTATCTTGTATCTGCTCAGTGCCCTTCTGTGCTCTTTCAAGATATATGATATAGCAGAAAGCTTGGACTGCTGCATGGAAGCCTGAAGAGGACTTCATTGCATAGTTCTACCTTTAACTTACTTTCTTTTCTGAAGTTTTGGTGTTTTATATAGAAATACCTATACAATGAAGTGCTAAAATAAGGGTATGCTCACTTGCTCATTTGATACAATTACAAAATGATCTTCTGGAGAGTTACACTTTTTAGATAGAGATTGAAACTTTCCTAAATTGGGTGCAGCTCTGTGTGTCCTGAGGGAAACGCTGCTCTTAATATGGAGAATTAGGGCAGTAAGGCTGGGGGAGTGTACTTGGTGTTATTACAAGCACCACGATGCATGGATATTTACAGAACACTGCTAAGCTCTTGAGTTCTAAATTTAGCAGTGTCTTTAATTCACCAGCTGTACTATTTATTGAAAAAATATTTGATGTGCCATAGGTTCCTTGTTTCTAACATCCGTGCCTATATGCAGGCTGATGTTTGGGAGACTTCCCTGTGTGGGGATTATACAGCTCCTTAGGTCTCTGAAATGCCATAAAGTAGCATCTTAACATAAATGTTTTTCACCTGGCTTGAAGCCTATAGCTTGAACACTTCACACTTGGGATCATAAAAACAAGCTTCCTAGTTGGGCTTTTTGTTCT